AGATGAGTATCATCAGTTCGCAACGCTGACGAGGTTTCTTGACTCGAAACAATCACTCTTCGTTTCTTCCATCCTTAAGGCGAAAAACCCGACTCCGTTTTCGGTCGCCAAGGAATTGTTGTTGCGACAATATTCGTTGTCGAAATTCCAGCGGATTCGGAAGGCAATTTTCGAAGAGAAGCGTAGCTCCGAAGAAAAGACGTCGAATCTCCTTTCGAGGCTTGAACCTTTATTAAAAGACATCGGCAACAGTGAGCTGAAGAAGTTTTTACTACTGTGTTCCTTACCTGAGTCGGTCAAGGAGCACGTTGCTTCGAAATTCGACGATTCGTCTGTCCAAGAGTTTTGCAAAACTTGTGATTCCGTGCTCGACGTCCACGTCAACAAAGAATCAACAGCGGTGGCAGCAGTTTGGTCTACAAAAAACATTGGAAAAAATTCAAAAAAATCAAAAAGGAGTGAAAATTCGAAGATGAGAAGACCGTGTACGTCTCATTTAGCTTATGGAAAGGAAACAAAAACATGTAGAGGTCCTGCTTGTCCGAACTGGACAGAAGGTTTGAAACAAGTAAAGTTCGTGGATGTTGTCATGGGAAACGACGGGGCAGCGACGAAGGAGGAGCTCCCGTCGTTGCAAAAATTTTAAGTGGCTCCGTTTCTTCATCCCAAAAGTTTTCCTCTCCCCTGTTAGACGACTCGCGCAGTTTCTTGATCGACACTGCATCGCCTGTTTCCTTGGTTCCTCTCTCTTTCGTTTCCAAAACATCGTCTCCTAAGAACTCCGGATTAGTTCACGCTGGAGGCGGCGATCTTCGATTTTTTGGTGAGACATCAATTCGACCAGTTTTTTTTGGAAAATGTTTCAATTTCATGGCCAAAGTTTCGGATGTGATCCATCCCATATTGGGTCGAGACTTTTTCGACGGTCCGGGATCCGACATTCTTCTCGACCCTCATAGAAAGAAATACTTCCAGCGCCGTCAAGAAATTGTTTCAGTAGTCACGGAAAATGACGTCATCAAGGCTGGCGAAGAAAAAACTGTTGTGTCGAATCTCAGACCACAAGCCAAAGATTTCATTCCCAGGCCCTTGACTGAAAATTCTTGTGTTTTGGCTGCAAATGAAATTGTTAAAAATTTTACTGAATCGGTTAACGCTAAACCTGTTTCAGAATTCCCAGCTCTATTTGCGCCTATTAGGATAGATACTGGTGAGCATTCCCCAGTTTATTCCAAAGCACGGCCGTTGTTTGGAGAAAAATTAGCGGCAGTCGGAACGATTCTGGAAGACCTTCAAGCAAAAGGTATTATCGTGCCAACGTCTGGAAATGTTGAATGGGCTTCTCCTATTCACATGGTAACGAAGTCCGACGGTTCCTGGAGAATGTGTGGTGA